CATCTTTCTTTAAAGTACGTGTAATTTGTACCTATGAGAAATCATTGTTGTAACTGATTATGCAGTTCTAACTATCGAGACAATTAAGATCGTGTTTAAACCTGTCTTTATGAAAGAGTTGCATCTTATTAAAACCCTTGGATATCTTTTTGACCCTTTGGGATAAGCGAAAAAGGTACGTCTGTGAAAAAGGTAACATAGGGACGCGACAGAGGGTTCGACAAAGTCTGTATCGAGGTACAAAAATCGAGGGTTGTCCAATACTCACAAATAGACTCCAATGGTGTTAGTGGTGAGAAGAAGGGTCTCCATTGGTACCAATGGTACGATTATTTTCTCATGTGGTCTAGCTGGGTACAGGGCAATTCCAATGGTCCATTGGTACCAATGGTACGATTGGTACCAATGGAAAAGCACCCTATTCCAATGGTTCTATTAGTGAATATGCATCTTATTAAGGACACTTAGATTACTTTCTCATGTGGTCTAGCTGGGTACAGGGCAATTCCAATGGTCCATTGGTACCAATGGTACGATTGGTATCAATAGAAAAGCACCCTATTCCAATGGTTCTGTTGGTGAATATGCATCTCATTAAGGACACTTAGATTATTTTCTCATGTGGTCTAGCTGGGTACAGGGCAATTCCAATGGTCCATTGGTACCAATGGTACGATTGGTACCAATGGAAAAGCACCCTATTCCAATGGTTCTATTAGTGAATATGCATCTTATTAAGGACACTTAGATTACTTTCTCATGTGGTCTAGCTGGGTACAGGACAATTCCAATTGTCCATTGGTACCAATGGTACGATTGGTACCAATGGAAAAGCACCCTGTTCCAATGGTTCTGTTAGTGAATATGCATCTTATTAAGGACACTTAGATTACTTTCTCATGTGGTCTAGCTGGGTGCAGGGCAATTCCAATTGTCCATTGGTACCAATGGTACGATTGGTACCAATGGAAAAGCACCCTATTCCAATGGTTCTATTGGTGAATATGCTTCTCATAAAGGGGACTTAGATTATTTTCTCATGTGGTCTAGCTGGGTACAGGGCAATTCCAATGGTCCATTGGTACCAATGGTACGATTGGTATCAATAGAAAAGCACCCTATTCCAATGGTTCTGTTGGTGAATATGCATCTCATTAAGGAGACTTAGATTATTTTCTCATGTGGTCTAACTGGGTACAGTGCAATTCCAATGGTCCATTAGTACCAATGGTGCGATTGGTACCAATGGAAAAGATTATTTTCAGATGTAGTCTGGCTGGGTACAGGGCAATTCCAATGGTCCATTGGTACCAATGGTACGATTGGTACCAATGGAAAAGCACCCTATTCCAATGGTTCTATTGGTGAATATGCTTCTCATTAAGGGGACTTAGATTATTTTCTCATGTGGTCTAGCTGGGTACAGGGCAATTCCAATGGTCCATTGGTACCAATGGTACGATTGGTACCAATAGAAAAGCACCCTACTCCAATGGTTCTATTGGTGAATATGCATCTCATTAAGAGAGTTAGATTATTTTCTCATGTGGTCTGGCTGGGTAAAGGGCAATTCCAATGGTCCATTGGTACGAATGGAACGATTGGTACCAATAGAAAATGATGTCATTCCAGTGGTTCTATTGGTGAATATGCATCCATTAAAAAATAAAAATCTCCGTCGATTCATATGTTTATGAGTGATAAGGAGACATTCAAACTTCTGCTGTTTTTCCACGGCAAGGGGTGCAATCCTGAAATCATCAGTAGATTCTTCTAGCTCAGTCCTGGGCTTGATCGCAAGCTACAGCCGAGAAAAGAGCACGGCAAATACAATTTGTCAAGGACAACGTTGACATTAAATACATCAATGGTTTTACTACGACCTTGATTATAGCAAACTGGTGTACCTCAATGGGTTACCACGACAAACCCCACGTCAACAGTCAAAAGTGACTTCAGTCACTTGAATATAAAACGGCTCTCTTAGGAGCCACCAAATACAATACAAAGTCATAACCAACAGCATGATATAACCACCCTTTTCGGAAACTCTTCATTGAAAACTTGTTTTGGTTTAAACGCTTCCATGTAGATAATGAAATTGCGCTAAGAAATTTCAGAAGTTAATTTCACAGTGAGTTGAGTACAGTTGTTAAAACCTGTTGCCTCAATACCACTTTGCTAGTTTCGCGCCTTTCGGCGTTGTTTCGAGTTCTTTTAACAAGTAAGAATTACCAAAAAATAGTGCTTGCGTACAGAAAAGAAGACATTCATATGTCATGTTGTTGTTTGCTCGTGAATAACAGTAGACAGAACGAACCCGACAGTGACGCGTTACCTTTCAATTTTAATGTTCGTACGATGTTTGTTATACTCACAGCACCCTGATATATTATTAGCGCTAGATATATAGGTCGCCCTCGCTTTGTAACTATTAGCGCGTTTCTACTTTGTGTGAAAGCGACCTTGTTTTGCGTGGTTAGCCTATAGAACGAGGAATATTCATAAGAATTATGGCGCGTTTTTAATTGGTGTAACAGCGAACTTGTTTTGCGTGGTTGGCTTATAGAACGAGGAATATTCATAATAATTATTAGCGCGTTTTTACTTAGTGTAAAAGGCAACTTGTTTTGTGTGGTTGACTTATAGAACGAGGAATATTCATAATAATTATTAGCGCGTGTTTACTTAGTGTAAAAGGCAACTTGTTTTGTGTGGTTGGCTTATAGAACGAGGAATATTCATAAGAATTATAGCACGCTTTTACTTGGTGTAAAAGTGAACTTGTTTTGCACCAATAGAACCATTGGAATGGCATCATTTTCCATTGGTACCAATCGCACCATTGGTAGCAATGGACCATCAGTTTGACGAATCGTATCCGTTTGTTTATATTGGACATGTGTGCCCAAAAGTGAGGTGTGCTAAAAGTAATTGTCTTGCTGACGCAAAGAAAATTCGCTCAAAATTCGGGTTATGACGGAATATTATTCGCTGTAGGAAATTGAAAGTTAATAGCTAATTCTCATAACGTAAATGAGATTTGAACGGCCGAAGCATTCCTTCAATAAAATGATATTCTTTTCTGCTTTTAGTGAAACTCGTATTTCATTTTCATAAGTGCGCTGGAAAATGCCAGGCCCGACAAAATTCCAGGAGAAAGGCGTCGGGTTGTTTCTTTAGCTTTATTGAATTCGTTGCATGTTATCATTTAATATGTACATAAAAAATATATATATAACACGTTAGATAGAGAAAAAAGTAAAATAAAATAAATTAATTAATAAACAAATATTGCTACTGGAGCAAGAGACAGGACAATGTCCCAGTTTATATCTTGCCCCAAGAACCAAATAGAATAAAACCATAATAACGGAACGGCTAGTTGAGCTACTACTAGGCTATATGTTACGGCCCACTAGTAGCCAAAGGCACCGGCTTTGAAAGCCAAAACAATGGCGGCTGAATCACGTTTTGCTAGCTAAAGTTGTTTTGTCTCGATATTTTTGACCAACTAGTTGGATTTTACTAAAACAATTATTCCTCTCGCCCTCATGGCCTCTGAGTCAATAGCCCATTCGGACTCGAGGAATAATTGTTAAATACCCCATAAAAAAAAGTGTTTTAAATAGTTTTGTTTTGTATAAGGTATATGGTAGTTAAATTTGCATGCATTGTGCGTGCGATGGTGTATCTCAGTTTGCCGGAAAAATGTTTTGATGGTTGAGATCCACGTGGTCTGCTTTGGCTTTAAAAATAGGGGCAGGGTCAGTTCTATACTCCAGTGGTATTAGGTTAAGTTTGACTAACCGGTCCTTGTAAGACATTTCTTTCGGATAATTCAAAATAAACTGAAATATCTAGAAATAAAATGCAATATCTCTGAATGTAGTTCATAGCCTTCACAACTCCAAGTCCAGCTCTAGTTGTTGGTAGGCCTAGCTTATATCCAGCTTGACTCATTTAAAACACCAAAGCACAGGATGAATCCTAAGCCCATTCCACTTATGAGTAATAATTGGATAGTTACCTTACTTAACTGCTTGGATGGTGTTTTGTTTTCATTAGCGACAAACATCGATATCTTCCAAATTTGGTCAAGTGTAAGCTGTTTACGAAGAATTAGCCAGAACGGTTTAAGCTTTTCAGAAACGGAGGAGTATATTGAATGAATAACATTCTTCCTTATCTTATGTAACGGACTCGAGTATTTTTGAACAAAGCCATCGCAAAGGCTAATCAGGAGCGGTGACAAAGAAGTTGTTGACTATGAAAAATCCTTGTCATATCACGGCGGTTAATCACCCGTGGACTTTGACAATTAATTACTCACACTGCTCGAGTAGTTTATTAACATAAACAGTTCAACTTATCACTCAATCCTTGTTGCTTAGTATTGAGGCCACCTCTATGACATTGTTCGATCGATCTATTCCTTTTTTTATAGATCTATTTTCCTTTCCCTGAAAGACACCCGGGCGATTCTTAGTTCAAAGTTAGTCCTCCTGAAGTTAAAACCTTTCCCCCTAATAATTCGTAATGGGATGGAATCTGAGTAAATAGGACATCGTGCATTTATTTGTTCGGGCATGCTCCTGTAAACAACCTGTCACTTTTTCTCAACGTTGATTAGTAGCTTCCATATTTTTCCTGAAAAGAAAATATGTGGGTTTTTTAGTCGAATTGAACCGATATATCTGAAACAACAGCGTTTTTTGATAATCGATTTGGATTAGCGCGCTGGGATGACATACTTCCCCTGGATTGGTGGCACACTTTTTAATCTTAAACTTAAATTGACATTTTTTGACGCGTACACAGATGTCACCTGTTCAAAGATGACTCTGACCCTGAACAGTGACAGCCTTTAGCTATGCCGACGGATGAATGGGAATTTAAAGAGGTGTCAATACCATCTTAACACGCTCATTGTTTTAAAATGATTTTGTTCCAAATGCAGCTGTAGTTGTCAGCCTAGACGAGTAGCTTATGGTAAAAGGATGAAGAAACTCGTAGCATTTTCATGTCTTTTTTCAGTTTATATCGTACTTGGAGCACTAATCTTCAGGGCTTTTGAAATTGAAAACGAGATCAAGGAGAACACCCTCATTAAGAGCCTACGTGAAAGGTTCAACAGAAAGTACAACATAACTGACGACGATTGGGGAATCCTTGAAAGTATGATGAAGGAAAAACAAAGTTTGAACACAAATACCCTGGTGTGGAGCTTTGGTAACGCATTTATATTTGCAGGGAGTGTTGTGACGACAGTAGGTAGGTTTAAGTTTAATTCTCGTACATATATACTTTTATGGTTATGGTGACCATGTATTTATGTTTCACAATCCATTTTGATTTGTATTTTCAGTGAAATTGTTGTTTAAATTAATTACACTTTCGTTAAAACTGTACAGTCTGAAAAGTGTAGTGCATATATAAGGTTTTGGTTGACCCTAGTATGAATGCAAAAACTCACAGTTGAATGTTAAAATAAATCGATTTAAAAATTTATGCATTTGTATATGGTACGAAGCAAGATTATGCTATACCAAATCGTTTATTGTTTATCCTGTGAAATAGACTTCAGTAAAAATAAATAGATATAAATTTAATTGCTACGAGTTTTACAAGGGATATTTAGTGCGTAATAAACTTCAGTTTTCAAATCTTTCTTAACTGATTTCCTCAAATGACTGTTATAATTTATCTTTAACTAAGGAAAAGCACGTCGACATTCATTTCTACCAATTTAATGGTCTATGATAAGTAAGATGTCTCAATTTTTTCCTGAAGCAATGTAACGCCGTATGTATTAGAAGTCATATCTCTTACATTTTTGGTTTTTATTCATTCAGAAAAACGAGGCTTATCTAAAGGATCTTCACTAAATAAAGATCGGCATATCATACCGTAAAATTCCGAAAATAAGCCCCAGGGGCTTATCTATGGAAGGAAATTTGCGTTTCAAAATCGGTTGGGCTAGCCTTATAGTTGGAAGGAAATTTATCGTTTTTTCATTTGTATTTGAGTACAATTTCCAAGTAAAAGCCCCTGGAGGCTTATATTTGGAGGGGTTTTTTGCTTTACGAGTTTGGGGGGACTTATATTTGGAGGGACTTATACATGGAGGGACATATTTTCCGAATTTTACGGTATTTTGTTCCAGCTACTTACTTTCATATCGCATTAAGAAATGAGATTGCTCCTTTTAATACTATTTTAATCGGTACGAATGATATTCAAAATATTCCTCGTGAAAACTGGACTCATAGAGGGGATTATCTCTTTTTACCTTCAAACAAATCGCAAATTATGGAAAAAAGAAACAACAACAACAAAAAAATATATCAAGAAATTAAACTGCATGTAGATCGTACGGTAAATTAAAAAGTTTTAAATTTGAACTGTTTAAAATTAATTCATTACTTATTGTTTTCGCAGGCTATGGCAATATTGTTCCCCGAACGACAAATGGTCGTCTCTTTTGCATATTTTACGCTTTCTTTGGTATACCGCTGACGTGCCTGACACTAAAGACCATCGGGGAGAAGCTACGCGACTTAATGACGTCATTGATTCATAGTGTCAAAAGACGGTTCGGTAGCACACAAAGAGTCCGCAATGGAATCGTGTGCACTATAAACATCTTTTTGTGGATCATAACACTCCTTTTTCTTTCCCTTTTAGCGCATTGGAGACGCGGATGGACCATATTTGAAGGCTTTTATTTCTGCTTTATAACTTTCAGTACAATCGGTTTTGGAGACTTCGTTGCTTTTGATGACAATGAAGCAAACACGTTTACTGATTACATGGTGGTAATTGTTGGCGTTGTTTTGGGATTTGCAGCAATGTCAACTGTCTTGTTTTCATGCAGCTCTATGATGGAAAACAAATCAAAGGAAACTTCTCAACTTGCCCAGAAATTTCGTGATGTCAAGAAAAGATTGAAGTTAAGGGGAACTGCAGTTGTCGAACCTTTGAAACGTCGTCATCAAAATGAAACTGGAAAATTAGAAATGGCAAACAGACATGGTCAGTAAAGCTAAATCTCAGTAAACCAAAACTAAAACCATCAGACCAATGTGTTAATACACCTTAGATTAATCGTGGAAGGCAGTTTTCAAGTACATCTTTGTAGATGTAAGCGACAGACCAAAAAATGCCTGACAGCAACGTGGGAAGCAAGTCTCAATGAGAACGAGAGTTTTCTGGGTTTCTTGCTGTTCCTGAAGCCATATTAGCTCATATATATTGGTTCGTGTAATTTACTGCTATGGTGAGGATATTGGCCAATGTCTTTTAATTTATCGGTGATCACACCGCCCGCAAAACCAAGAAACTAACAGTTTCACTTCTCCTTATGACCCTTATGCCGGATCCTTACTCGGTTAGTGAAAGGTAAAACGTACAATCATGATTTGAGTAGTTTATGATGGAGACTGGAATCTACAAAGCTAAGAATAAACTGTTTGTTTAAGTGTGGGTTGCACAAACTACAGTCAATTCCCTCAGATGAACACCTTTGTGACTGGCGCAAAAAAAATGTCTGTATTAATGGACAGGTGTCCCTCTTATAGAGAATAAAAGAAAATGTCTGAAGAATAGTAGGGACCAACTGGATTTCCTGGAGGTGCCTTGTCTTTTGATTGTACTACTATATACATTTATTACACTTATGGTTACAATACTTCTAGTAATTTTTCCTCTCTCTGTATATTATATAAAGTAGTTACAAGGAAACAGGAAAGTATTTTTTGAATCTAGTATGATTAATCCTGGGTACAGTTAATAAATTTAACCAAGAATTTAAATGGATCATACTGGACATGAATTATACAAGTGTGCTTATCAGCGGAGCTCCTCTCGCGCGCGAAGCGCGCGCAGAGCGGAGCACCATGGGTAAGAAAATTTGGTAAACTATCCATCTGAGAAAATTTGGTTATGACGTAGCGTACGCCCGCCCGCCCGCCCGCCCACCCGTACACACGCTTCATGTAAGCCGATGTCAAATGTCACAATAGATCTTGCACAACTCGACTAGCCTCTTAGTTATGTAAGCCATCCGTATGAGTACGATTAGATTGACAGCTGTCAAAATTAGGCATCCGCTGACAATTATCATATGACTATCTCGCGGGCTCACATGAAAGACAAGTCGTTTTGCCCCTACATATAAGCTGATATAATATGTCACACTTGCTAATTCAAGATAAAAACAAAACTACGCCGAGCAAGGCTGTCAGTTGGCTGACAGTCGTTGAAAGTTATATTGGCAAGCCAAATGAAGGTCAATTGACAGCTTTCAAAATGGGACATGTGCAGACCACTATGAGAAAACTAATAACGTGGGCTCAGGTTCGCTCAGGTACACGATCTGGCATTTTCCACTACATGCCGGACGGATATGTCTTACTCACACTCGTAGTCTGTTAATTCGAATATTCGGCATTCTAATGAAGGTTAATTGACAGCTGTCAAACTAGAGTATACGCTGACCATCATCACCTGAGTGTATCGCGGGCTCATTTGTCTATCCATTGAGGTCACGTAGTGTTTAAAGTTTTGCGCTGATATTTTATTTGATCACGGGCTCAATTCGAAGTCCCATAGCTTAGAAAATCGATCCATCTTAGAAAATTCGGCATTCACGTGACCATACACCGACCACCCGACCTTCCGTCCGTCCGCACCACAGGTATACCAATGTTTAATCTCACACTTTCTAGCTAGTTTGGGAGCCTGCAACCTGATATTGTACATCCATGTTTTGATTAATTGACAGCTGTCAAAATAGTGTTTCTGCTGACCAGTATCGCCTGACCCTATCGCGGGCTCAGGTATCGACCCACTGAGTTGGAGTGTTTTTTAACGTATCCGCTGACAGGTTGCTACTTTTCAATTATCGCAGGCTCAAGTTCAATTTTTTTAAAAAGCATATGAATTGACGAGTTCATGAGCCGCACTTTTAAAATGTTGATTTCGAACTGACCTCGGACGCGAAAATTCAACCGGCTTGTACATTTACATGCGGGGAAGGTAATCACTTTTGACTTTTCTCACTGTCACGCGTTGATCACGCTCTACGTCGAATTTTTATGTTCTGATTGGTCAAAATTGGACAGGTGAGTTCACGCGGAAAATTTATGCAGCGTCTGGAAACTTACTTACTGATAGCTGGAGCTTACAGAGTTTTGTGTCATCTTGTGATGTTTTAAACTGGCTTTTCCTACTTGGTGTACAAAACTAAATACAGCTGCTATCAAGATTGTTCTGTAATTCATGGCTGGTTTGTTTATTGCGCTTTTTGTTGACAAATTCACCGCTTGTCAAAGTCATTGGAAATCCGATTTCGGATCGGATGGCATCGTTTTCAAAAATGAGCTTACTCAGTTGCCCTTGCTTGAGGCGTAAGAGGGTTGAAAATTCTGGAACACTGGATGACCTTCAGAAGCAGCATCTCGACTGGTAAGCCTGAGAAATTGTTGTCTTTGATGTGTTTTTTTTTCGGTTTTCTGAAGTCGAACGTATGGTTTATGCGGCTTAAGTTTATACACGAGCAATGATCTAACCTATAATATACCTGCCAACTCTCACGCCTGCGGGTTGAAAACTTCGATCTCACGCCGGCTCACGCCTGCGGGCCAATTTCTCACGCCTGGATGACCTTCAGAAGCAGCATCTCGACTGGTAAGCCTGAGAAATTGTTGTCTTTGATGTGTTTTTTTTTCGGTTTTCTGAAGTCGAACGTATGGTTTATGCGGCTTAAGTTTATACACGAGCAATGATCTAACCTATAATATACCTGCCAACTCTCACGCCTGCGGGTTGAAAACTTCGATCTCACGCCGGCTCACGCCTGCGGGCCAATTTCTCACGCCTGATTGAAAAATGTGAGTTGTTGCCGTCCTGCTTGTCACAATTTCCAAAAATATGTTAACTCAGACCAATGTAAGGAACGAAAACCATGTGTAAAATGAATAAATGGCAATACCTTCCTCGCGATCTCTGATTTTTGAAGTGAAAAGCACTGGGAGCGAGCTCGCCTTTGGCAGACCTCGGCAGACTTCGGACGTCTTCGGAAGACTTCGCACTTCCTCGGGAATCTTCGGAAATGATCGTGTCGTCTTCAAAAATCCCAGCACTCCCAGGATAAAAATCTCACGCTTATATCTCAGAAAAAGTTGGCAGGTATACTATAATAGTATCAGGTTTAAAAAGCCTTTAGACATTTTTTGACCGCAAATTCAAAGAAAATGTTCCGAAGATTATTTACTCATGATTTTGGCTGTAAACAGAAAGCTTTGAGCGATTTTCTTGCCTCGAGTTCATCTTGAAAAAGAGCAAACACCGGGAAGCTTATGCTTACCTGACTCGTGATTTTCAAAGACACTTTACTCTCAATACGTCTCTTCGTGAATGAAAATTATTGTCTCTGTACATGTTTCACCGAATTATATTTATTTTATTGATTGTTAGTAGTCCCTCTCGCAATTTTTATCGCTGCACCGGTTGTATCCAGTCGAACATAAACATCTCATGCAGGAATACTCAAAACGCCGCGCGTAAACATTACTCGCTTTTAAAGACTACACATACCAAAACCATACGCAGTTTAATATCTAAATAAAGGGAAATAAAACCTAAACATAACAATTTATCTATCGTGTTGAAGCGTAAATGGTAACTCTATTAATCGCACTGCAAATTTGGTGCCTGTCAAAAGTGAGCCCCGTCCGGCTGGCCGAAAAGTGATTTTGGGAATTTGTTTATCGTTTTCATTGAAAGCCCATATTACCCTGCATATCACATAGGACCAGATTTTTCTAACTGAAAGTCCTAGCATTATAGAATTCTCTTCATGAAAACGTTTTATAATTCAATGCTATAATTTGTTGTGCAAAGGAAGGGCGTGCTTTGATCGTCGTGGATATTGAATGAGTGCAAATTCTCTTGCAAAATTGTGAAAAACTGCAGAATTATACGTTTAAATAGGGCAAAAAAGAACAAATTCTATCCGAGGTCTGTATAATAAAAACAAGGGCCTCATAGTACTGTTTACCTGAGACGTGATGAGAAAAAGTATGTTTAAAAGGCTGGTTTACACACCACCAGATTCGTCGCCAAGATTTACTAGTAAACTAAACTTGTCGAACACAAAAAATCCGGGCTGTTTTTTTTATTTTGGCCTCTCTTTTAGACAGAGGAATGCAACGTGTAAATTGGCTGCCACCAAGGACTATCGAGGCGCGTGTGTTTCTTAAAATTATATTTCGGGGTTGTCCAATTATCCATAGTCTCTCAAACGGAGCAATATTGGAGAGAGTGGTGAATGCCACATTATGATGTAACAGCTAATGCAAATACAATACACGAATAGGTAGGTCTATTTGTTTTCCAGGCCTAATCTACTGTGATCGAACATGACTGCTATTTTTGGGTGTACAAATAGGACTATTTAATAACTCGATGTAAAAGCTGTTTCACTCTTGGACTGTCAAATTATTTTTCTCTAAAATCACTTAGCCTTTTCCTCAAACGTCAAATGAATGTGCCCTGATCTGTGGATTACAAGTTTATTGTTTGATTTAAATTATGAATTTATTAACGGGAGCTTCGCTTTTAGCCCTGGCTAAATCTATATGTTAGGGTTACTGGTCACACAAACAAGTTTGTTTTTCAATGGTTTAAGAGGCTGTCCGCGTAAGAACCGATAAGGCAAATGTTGGTCTATCAAGGATTGCTCTGATTTTTTTCAGTGGAAGATAACTATCCTATCCCATGAAGAAATATCACATTTATTTGGACCAACTCAATTTATTCTCTATTTTACAGAAAGATTTTCTAGGTCACCTAAAACCAGCCAGTTTGCCGTCGGAAGTGGTACGATTTTGGTGAAACTTTAGGGCTCTTGCAAACCTGCCTTACAAAGCCGAATAAGCTGATTATTTTACGCAAAAAAGTTTTAACTCTGATTAATAGTTTCAAGGTTTAATGGTTGCATTCTGTGGAAAGTTGGCTGAGATATGATTTTTTTAAAATG